ATCCTACATAAAACTTATGGATCACTGAATATGATATGTTTGATTCCTTGCAATAGTTTTGCGATATAAAGATGGTGATACCAGAGCCATGCTGGTGAGTAATTGTGGATTGGTAAGAATACTTGTGTTAAAGTTTGTGATTCCCGAAGCATGCACATATGGTGAACCGTTATGTGATGAAGTCGGGGCATGATTTATTTTTTTGATTGTCTTTCTTATGAGTGGTGGTAGGGGACGAGCGATGGTCTTTTCCTACCAATCTATCCCCCTAGGAGCATGCGTGTAGTACCTTGTTTCGATAGCTAATAGACTTTTGCAATAAGTATGTGAGTTCTTTATGACTAATGTTGCGTCCATGGATTATACGCACTCTCACCCTTCTATCATTGCTAGCCTCTTTGGTACCGTGCATTGCCCTTTCTCACCTTGAGAGTCGGTGCAAACTTCGCCGGTGCATCCAAACCCCGTGATATGATACGCTCTACCACACATAAGCCTCCTTATATCTTCCTCAAAACAGCCACCATACCTACCTATCATGGCATTTTCATAGCCATTCCGAGATATATTGCGATGAAACTTCCATCATCATCATATATATGACTTGAGCGTTCATTGTCATATTGTCTTGCATGATCGTAAGATAGCTAGTATGATATTTTCATGGCTTGTCTGTTTTTTGATATCTTTGCTATGATAGATCATTGCACATCCTGGCACACTGCCAGAGGCATTCATATAGAGTCATATTAGTCTAGATATCGAGTTGTAATATTGAGTTGTAAGTAAATAAAAGTGTGATGATCATCATTATTAGAGCATTGTTCCAGAGAGGAAAGGATGATGGAGACTATGATTCCCCCACAAGTCGGGATGAGACTCCCGACGAAAAATGAAAAAATAAAAAAGGCCAAAAAAAGAGAAGGCCCAAAGAAACAAGAGAAAAAATGAGAGAAAAAGAGAGAAGGGGCAATGCTACTATCCTTTTACCACACTTGTGCTTCAGAGTAGCACCATGTTCTTCATATAGAGAGTCTCTTGAGTTATCACTTTCATATACTAGTGGGAGTTTTCATTTTAGAACTTGGCTTGTATATTCCGATTATGGGCTTCCTCAAATGCCCGAAGTCTTCATGAGAAAGCAAGTTGGATGCACACCTACTTAGTTTTCAGTTTGAGCTTTCATAAATTTATAGCTCTGGTGCATCCGTTGCATGGCAATCTCTACTCCTCGCATTGACATCAATTAATGGGAATCTCCATAGCCCGTTAATTAGCCGCGTCGATGTGAGAATTTATTCCTTTTTGTCTTCTCCACACAACCTCCACCATCATATTCTATTCCACCTATAGTGCTATATCCATGGCTCACGCTCATGTATTGCTTGAAAGTTAAAAAGGCTTGAGAACATTAAAAGTATGAAACAATTGCTTGGCTTGTCATTGGGGTTGCATGATGAAATACTTTGTGTGATGAAGGTGGAGCATAGCGAGACTATATGATTTTGTAAGGATAACTTTCTTTGGCCATGTTATGTTAAAGCATGATTTCTTTATTAATATGCTTGAAGTATTATTGTCTTAATGTCAAATGATAGACTATTGCTTTGAATCACTCATGTCTTAATATGCATGTCATGATTAGATTATATGATCAAGATTATGCTAGGTAGAATTCCACATCAAAAATTATCTTTTTTATCATTTACCTACTCGAGGACGAGCATGAATTAAGCTTGGGGATGCTGATACGTCTCTGTCGTATCTATAATTTTTGATTGTTCCATGCCAATATTCTACAACTTTTACATACTTTTGGCAACTTTTGTACTATTTTAGGGACTAACATATTGATCCAGTGCCCAGTGTCAGTTATTGTTTGTTGCACGTTTTTTGTTTCACAGAAAATCCATATCAAAGGGGGTCCAATGGGATAAAAACTTACAGAGATTTTTTTGGAATATATGTGATTTTTGGGAAAAAGAATCAACACGAGACGATGCCCGAGGGGCCCACAAGGACAGAAAGCGCGCCCCTGGTCCTTGTGGCCACTCCGTAAGACGGTCGGTGCCCTTCTTCTGGCTCAAGAAAGCTAATATTCGGATAAAAATCGTGTTAAAATTTCAGCCCAATCGGAGTTACGGAAGAAAACTGGGAGCGCAGAAACAGAAGAAAACTGAGAGAGAGAGATCCAATCTCGGAGGGGCTCCCGCCCCTCCGCCGCCATGGAAGCCAAGGACCAGAGTGGAAACCCTTCTCCCATCTAGGGGAAAGGTCAAGGAAGAAGAAGAAGAAGGGGGGCTCTCTCCCCCTCTCTCCCGGTGGCGCCGGAACGCCGTCGGGGCCATCATCGCAACGACAATCTACACCAACAACTTCACCGCCGTCATCACCAACTCTGTCCCCCTCTATGCAGCGGTGTAACACCCCTTCGCCCCGTTGTAATCCTCTACTTGAACATGGTGCTCAACGCTATATATTATTTCTCAATGATGTATGGCTATCCTATGATGTTTGAGTAGATCTGTTTTGTCCTATGGGTTAATTGATGATCATGATTGGTTTGAGTTGCATGTTTTATTATTGGTGCTGTCCTTTGATGCTCTCCGTGTCACGCAAGCATGAGGGATCCCCGCTGTAGGGTTTGCAATATGTTCATGGTTTGCTTATTGTCTGTGTTGCGTGAGTGACTGAATCACAAACACGGATAAGTGGGTCATGGCGTATGGGAATAAAGGGGACTTGATACTTTAATGCTATGGTTGGGTTTTACCTTAATGATCTTTAGTAGCTACGGATGCTTGGTAGAGTTCCAATCATAAGTGCATATGATCCAAGAAGAGAAAGTATGCTAGCTTATGCCTCTCCCTCATATAAAGTTGCAATAATGATTACCGGTCTAGTTATCGATTGCCTAGGGACAAATAACTTTCTCATGACAAAAAGCTCTCTACTAAAACTAACTTAGTTGTGTCTTTATCTAAACAGCCCCTAGTTTTTATTTACGTGCTCTTTATTATCTTGCAAACCTATCCTATAAGACCTATAAAGTACTTCTAATTTCATACTTGTTCTAGGTAAAGCGAACGTTAGGCGTGCGTAGAGTTGTATCGGTGGTCGATAGAACTTAAGGAAATATTTATTCTACTTTTAGCTCCTCGTTGGGTTCGACACTTACTTATCGAAAGAGGCTACAACTGATCCCCTATACTTGTGGGTTATCAAAGACCTGCAACCTATCATAAATAAGATCATTAAGAAAATATGTGGATGGAGGGGCAAACTTTTGAGCTATTGGCCAAAATTATCCTTCTACAAACTTGTATTGCTAGCATTCCTATGTATTTTATGTCCTTTATCAAATTTCCTAAATGGGATATTAAATCTATTACCTCACAAATAGCTCATTTGGGGGGGGGGCAATTTAGGAGAAGATCATAAATATCATTTGCGAATTGGGGGCTTGTGTCCCAAAAGAAAAAGTATGGGGGTTTGGGTGTTCCTAGCTTGTTGGCTTCATGGACTAAATGATTCTTTTGTGGTGAGGATAAAAATTGGATTACCTTAGTAAATCACAAATATAAGACGAACAAATATAGCCTTCTTTGGGCTAAACCTAATACTGGATCCTCATTTTGGAAAGGGGTGACATGGGCTTTTGATGTTGTTTGCCCTTTCTTTAGATGGGAGTTGAGGGATGGGAAGCAGATTAGCTTTTGGCATGACACTTGGGCTGGGAACTTCACTTTAAAAACACAATTTTGCGATGTTTTTGATATTTGTCAGCAACAATCATGTTGTGTGGCTGAAGTCTGGAATGGCTGTGAGCTCAAGCTGACTTTTCGTAGATGTGTAGATCACGCCTTCCTATTTAAATGGGATGAGCTGCTTGTTGTGTTGGCTAGTCATCATATTAAGGATGAGCCTAATCATCCCATTTACTTGCCTGAGGCTTTTCCTGCTTACTTTGTTAGATC